TCTTGCAGTGACATGTATTCCCACAGCATGCTGCCATACTGTATATGCCACTTCTTACTTGAATCTGACAGTGGGGACACATTGGCGTTATTCATAATTTAGGTCAGCAATTGAACCAGCAGTTCATGTGCCACAATTTAGCAGTGAATATGTTATGCACTTGTCACGTATTAACATGGACTTTAACCAATGCATTAACCACTTTTCAGGCCTTCAGGGAGAAGTTATTAATGATGACTATTAATCCTCTCACACGTTTGTTAGAGCCTCTGGAGCCCCCAGTACATCTCTGATGAGCAACAAAACACATTTGTCAAGATATTAAGACAGAAAAGAACAAAGTCAGAAGGCTCGATAGTGCTCCGTGTGACTCTGCACAGATAGAGGGGAATGTCTACTGTACATAAGGACTATTGTTTTGCACTCAGTGCAAGTAATCAGGGCTATTCCAGGGCTTGTAGGTAGATGTGTAGGGGGAAGAAAATTAGTTCATTTTTCTATTGAGAATCTCTTAGTTGCCAGCAATTCATCTTGCTTTACTCTTAAAGTATCATCCCACTTGAGTCTCCTTCCTGACAAGCTGTGATAATAATACTATTAATAATGAACATAAATAAAAATAAATAATGTAAAATTTGGCAAGAAGCAGGTGTGAGAGCAGTGGGGACATGTACAGTACATTTCTATTATGTGAATCTGATTCTCTAATTACCACCTAATAACCATCTGCTCTCTGAGTTAAACCCTAAAGAAGAAAAGAGGGACTGAAGCATGACACTGACTTGGCAATTAAAGATACATAAGTACTCTAACAGGAGACATGCATTTTATTTCTTTCCAAGGCAGCACCAGTTGCAGAATGGTTGGCCTGTGATTGACTTTCCTGTTATGAGCTTTTTAAGGCATTTCAGGTATGTGGAAAAGACCTGCACTGTGAAAAAACACATGATCTGTAAGGACCTGATAGGGTTTGTTGGCTCACCAAGACATTTTTGGTGCCATAAGTGTGTTTTCTATTGCACTGTGATTTATTTACAGAACTACTACTTCCTGTTCTTCAGTTCATTTTCATCTAGTAATCTTTGTTTTTCCTCGTTGAAAGCCAAGTGACTGGCCTTCCCAGTCACAGATGGGGTCAAGGGATCATTATTAAAGCAGGTTAGAAAAGTTGTATTTGGAAGGGATTAGTTTTGAACCTTCTGTTGTAGGACATGTTGGCCAGTGGTACTGTTAAGTGACCGAATGGAAGACATTCTGTTTTCTTTCTGCCTTGATTTGGCCTTAATCTGTCTCCTAGTGGATACACTTTTAATCATCCAGGAAAAACAGAAAATATGCAAGAAAGTATGGAAACAATGACACTGGTGTCACAGCCAGTTGCATACATGTAAAGAGGAAATATTTATGTGGCTTTAGTCTGTACCTAGTTACATACATGTAAAAAGCAAATATTTATGTGGCTTTAGTCTGTACCTTTATGTACTGTACATGGCTGATATGCTTAATGCAAGACTGGTGTTGCCAAAATAATTTTAGAATATCACTTGTCATATCGCTTATCATATTCCTTGTTGCCCCCATTCACTCCTATTAAATCCCCAGAGTGTTGTGTCACAGCGAATGAAGGTGTGGAAACAGAGAAAGTTAAGGTGAAGGTGTAATTAAAGCTGATTATGGCAAGGCAGAGGGGAGGGCAGTGCAGCACATTTGTCTTCTCCACCTAATGAGTGGAGGCTGGGAGTGCTGAATTAACTGCCTTGCTGTCATCTGTCCTCTGCCATACCACTTTGTCACAAGGACACTCCTCCAGGAAGATGAGACAGGGTCAAGTGCATGTGTATCCCCTGGTATTATTCTTACAGGCCAGTGGGACCCCTGTTCCACCAGGCATTGGGAATTGAAGCACTTCAGCAAGCTCAGAGCCACACCACTCAGCCTCTGCATCATTAAACCTGGCTAAAAATACACAGCCCACCCATGGGCTGCAGTTTGCAAAGATCTGTGCATTGCCATTCTGAAACAAATGCTGACTCCTGTTCATGCCCAGAGTATAAGGCTTTGGCAATATAGTAACAGTATGCTCAACAAGCTGTCAAGTGTTTTCTCACCCACTAATTCATATTATCATTATTGATACATTATTATTTATCTATCTACAGTGCCTATAAAAAGTATTCACCCCCTCAGATGTTTTACCCTTAATTAGGCTTTTTTGACAAAAAAAATTACAAAAAAACCTCTAATGTCAAAGAAAAACCAGGTTTCTACAAAGTAATGTCACTTAATTAAAAATATGTAATGTGAAATTAGTGATTGCATAAATATTCAGCCCCTTCAAGTCAGTATTTAGTCGATGCACCTTTGGCTGCAATCACAGGACTGAGTCTGTGTGGATAAGTCTCAATCAGGCTTGCACATCTGGACACTGCAATTTTACTCAATTCTTCTTTGCAAAACTGCTCAAGCTCTGCCAGATTGCACGAGGATCGGGAAAATAAATGTTTTCCCAAGCTGTAGTTGTTAGGATTTATGGGTGAGGTAGGACCCAAAGCGCAGACACAAGAGCCAAGGAGTTGCTTGAACAGACTTTTTAATGAAAGGGTGTAACATAGGACTAGGGCAAAAAACACGAGGCTCAACCTGACACAAGTAAAGAAGGTGGACAAACTTGCAACAACAATAGTTCAGTCAGGGAGCAAGGCAAAAGAACTCAAAACCACAAAAAACTCAAACAAACCTGAAAGCACAAACTGAAAATCCACAACGGACGCGAACAGGCAGGGTGTGGTGATTGGAAAGTGACAAACAGAATGACAGGGGTAACAAGGTGTGGAGACAAAATGAACCAGCAACCAGACTGAGGGAAGGAAGGAGGATATATAGACAGGAGACCAGAGGATAACGAGCAGCTGGTGGAAACCATGAATGGTGATTGTGAACCGGGGTAAAGCTGGGGCAGGTAAGCCGACATAAGACAGGAAGTTTAACCAAAAATAAAAGCACAAAACAGGAAGCAGGACACAAACCACAACAGATTGTAGAAAAATGAATAACTTCATCACACCTGTCACCACTCACTCAGAGTCCAAACTCTAACAGTCCAGAGTTTGCAGGGACTAGAAACCAAAAAGAAAGCATCTGACAGAACGTACAGGAGCAACATAAACAGGCAGGGTGTGATGAGCAGACCTGACAGTAGTTCTCTTGCAGACTGAATAAGATTGTCTTCCAGGATTTTCCTATATTTTGACACATTCATTTACCCTCTACTTTTACAAGCCTTCCAGGACCAGCTGCCGAGAAGCATCCCTACAGCATGATGCTGCCACCACCATGCTTTACAGTGGGGATAGTGTGTTTGTGGTGATGTGCAGTGTTTGGTGTCTGCCAAACATAGTGTCTTGTCTGATGGCCAAAAGGCACCATTATGGTCTCATCAGACCAACGAACTTTCTCCCTTATATTGACCATGATTGATTTATAAAATCAATGAAGCGTAAAACATCCAAGGGGGTGAATACTTTTTATAGGCTATCTATCTATCTATCTATCTATCTATCTATCTATAACAGTTTGCATTGTGCTTTTGATCACATTCCTTTGTCTGTCTGCATTGTTTACTGCCTGTTTATACTGCTTTTTGCATTGTTTGCACTGTTTATTGCTTGTTAATACTGTTTATTTTGTCGTACTACACAGCCTTATGCTGGTTTACTGTTTACTTGCCCCTTGCATGGGGATATGTACATACACATTGAGAACCGATGTACCAGAGTCAAATTCCTCATGTGCCCAACACACCTGGCCAATAAAGCAGATTCTGATTCGGATTCTAATTGATTAATCTAATAACAGTTAATAAAGACACGTGAGATATACTCAGGGAAATTAATCACTAAATGTGCATTGATTATATTTGCTTAACAAAACACATGTGACTGACACTCTCCAGTGCTTTTAGTATTTTGAATTTTGAATGGCTTTAGCTCAGCAGCAAGGTGTGAATTCATTCCTGGCAAATGGAGCATTCTATGGAGTTTGAATAACTGCACTCTTACATAATCATGTTTCCTTCTCAGGGGCAGTACAATATCTATATAATGAATCATGCAGCAATAATGAATCAGCTACAGAGCCCTTATTTTATGGTTACTTGTTGGCCCAAATGTGAGGCGTTTTCAAATCAATCACTGTATCTGGCAAGAACTGCATGTATTGCTTTGTGACACCACAGTATATTGTTGCAAAATGGGCAAAGGCATGACACAGGCAACCCCATGACCCACAGGTGCAAGTAATTAACTGATTGCCAGGGTTCAGACAACTAAGTGCTCAGAAGAGCTTTCCGAGGGATATCTTTTCTTCAAATGTGGAATGAATATGCATCAAATATTAGGATGATTTAATGTTTTATTATTTAGTGCCACAGTACTTCAGACTCTGTGTTTGTAGAATGGAAGGATGAGTTAGTAGATTCTTGATGTCCATGAAGTAAAACTTTATAGTTGCTTTCAGGAGACAATGCGACAGACCTGAGCTTGTAAGCTACACAAGGAGAGATTTCCAGTCATGTGTAAAATGTAATTAATGGCTTAAATAATATCAGGCTATCAGTGCAACTCAAAGCACTGTTATATGGTAATGAAAACAAATGGCAGGCTTCTGGCTGATAACTCATTCTGTTTAACAGCTTCCTTGGTGTTACTTGCATAGGTTACTTTTGAATTTTCAGTAATGATGCTAATAAATGTTGCCTATATTATAACAGTCTCTGAACTGCGTATCATAGGCTACAGCCAAGGTTCATTAATGTCTCAACTCTGACTCAAAAGTAATTTTTCCCCCTTGACAATTAGTGCAGACTCCCACTCTGTACTTGTAACAGTATACACAATTATTTTTGCATTTAAACAAGGACAAAGAGAAAACGGAGACGGGATTTATTTCAAACATAAAGAGGTGTATAGTCTGGCTTCAGACTCGGCTATGTCCGTGGCTACACGTGTTTGTTGTAACTCGTTCCCTTCCCAATTTTGAGACACAGCACTATTTGTACCGAGGAGGAAACGTGTAGCCTGTAAAGCGGCACTGCGGCAGCGCCGTATCACTGCGCCTCGGTCCCCCTTCTCCGGGATCCTGAAGCTCGGATCTGGGGAGAGTAGGAGGAGATACCCTATGGTTTCCCCTTTGCGGAATTCATTTTGTCAGCTTCAAACCTTCTTGTGTTTTATCTTGTATTAGTGACCGAAGGCCTGCAACTTGTCCGGACGGTCTCTCCACACTCGCAAGGGTTTGCATTTCTTGGTTTTGCATGGCGTGTCTTGGAGAGAAAAAAAAAGAGAGAGCCTTGCTTTTGTTGTGTCTTGTAGTGGAAAACGAAGCTTGGAGAGCCGGAGCAGGAGGCAGTGCCAGTCCGCTGCTGCTGTTGTGGGCTGGACTGGATTACTGAGTCTGAGATCTCCTCTGACAGCACAGGCAGACAAAAAGGGACTGGGAGCGAAGACAAGGGAAAGACTCTTATACTGAGCTGGAACAGCCAGGGCGAGTGGTAGAAGACAGTTTATTTTCTTAAATAAGAGATGTTTTAGGCTAATTGTGCAGTGTGTGTGTGTAATTAGATGAGTGTTGGCACGGGGCATCAGGTTAAAGGCATAGGTACTGGGGGATACACGTTTGGGTTCGTTACAGTAGAGGTGGATTTGGCTTTTGGGCTTGTATGAAGGCAGAACATCTGCATGGAAAGTATTTGCGAATGGATGCTGCATACTTAAATGTTGGCATGCTGGCTTGTTGGATGTGCCTTTGTTATGTATTCACTTGATCATAGGCCTTTTCTCCCCCCTTTTTGCAAATGGTTAGAACTGTGTTTGATTGAAACATGTTACTTTGCATGGCATTCTGGAGACTGTATGTACGGTAAGCTTCAGAATCCAGATGAGCTAAATGATGTGACAAGCTGTGTCCAAGGAGACGATATAAAGTTGAAGATGATGGTTAACTGTGGCAGGTTGGTTTAGGTTTGTGTTGTAATGCAAAATAGGTGAGAGTCTTCTGTGTTTGAAATGGTCATCAGCATTTTAAGTCTGATTATTCAGAGAAATCTTAATGAAAGCACACAGTTTGTTGATTCAGTTTTATTCCACATACAATACCATTTCTGTGATGTAATGGGTGAGAATTGATATTCTGGACACATATAGAAGCCATATGTGTTTTAGACTCCAATGCCAGAGTGACTTTCATTGGCTTTAGGCCTAGACTGTAGGCCATGCCTTGAGAATGATCCAGAATAAGACTGCAAGCTGTTGAATGTTGCACCCTAATATCATAAAGCAGCCACATGCCTCCAGTGTCAGACAGTGGAAGGCATGACCTGCTGTAGCTAAATGCAAGAATGGCATTATCACCTGGTCTTGGCATACCCTTTAAACCTCAAGGATGTTTCCCTCTTCAATTAGACCTGTGTGAAAAATATAGTCAGTTTTTCAGGTGTGGAATAAATGAGTGAGATGTTAGGTCCATTGTGATATTTAGAAAAAAATAAGGGTGAGTTGAGAGGGGCTGTTGTGATGAATTTGTTCATTTGGACTGGAGTGAATGCTCATCGGTGCATATCAACAAGTCACAGTTGATTTATTTAACAAGAGTTTTGAAATCGCTGCTCTTATAGTTAATAGATTACCTACAGTACCATATGTGGACAGCTCAGAGGTCTTTGAAATGAAAATGCATGAACTTTGATAGTGAAGATTTTACCCCGTACATAATCAGTGATACTTAATTCTAAGTAATTTTGCACTGTGGGCATTTACACAACTGAAATATACTGAAATAGAAGTTTATCTAAATGGATGCAGCTAGTAAACAAATGAGAATAGCTAAAGGAGAAGGGCAGATTGTACTGACAGTTTACTGGCACTGCAACATTTGCTTTAATTAAGGCTTGATTTCAGGCTCCAGAGCAATCAGATGTGTTCTTGTTGTACAACCAGTGTACTGGATATTACTGATACTGTCACACTTTCACAGATTATTTGTTCCATATGTTACTTAAAATTAGCAGTGACCATGCCAAAAACAACAGCAAGGTCATACTGACACACTCAAGAGACCAAGTAACAAAGTCAAAATTCTGGTACATAGAAATGAAAGGAACAAGCTTGGTAAAAGCATCAGAAACCCTAGTTAAAGAGCACTTTTACCACATGATCATCTCATCTCAGGGCTTTAATGATGTGGCAATGTGCCTTGCAGATGAGACTGTAGTCACCCTAATAAAACATTTATCTTGCATTATGTTGAATGACAAGAACCTTCTACCATTCACAGTATTATGCAGCACCTTTTGGAAAATGGCTCACTGACTAATTGCACAGTTGAAGTTGCTGAGTGAACATGTTGCAAATGCATGCTCTCTCTATCTTTGTTTTGCAGGAGAGAGAGTTTGCTGACCTTGAGTAAAAGGAGTAGGTTTGTGGAGAAGAAAGATGTGGCATCACCTGCTCAACTCACCATGGCGGGACATGTTCACTGAGCAGACCTTTGCTTTAACTTGAAAAGTGCTCCCTTTGGCAGCATCGACAGCTTGGTGATAACGTGGTTAATAGATCATTTTACACCTCTGGCGCAGGATTTGATGGACTGCTTTTCATGGTCTTTGCTTGGAACCTAGCTCGGTATAGTGACTCCATGCAGTTTTGCATTTTATGTGACGTCCCTCTGTTGGATCTTACTTGTTTACTCTGGATCTAATACAGTGACACCATTCGCTTGGATATTGTGGTGATTCTTTTTGAGGGGTTTTTCATACAAGTGGAGATCGAGCAGTGCCTGAGTTTGGCCCTTGAAGAGTTTGATTCCCTGTAAGAGGAGCACTTATCTGGATGTTTCCTATGAAGAACACGGATGGCCCTCGATCTAGCGGCCTCCGCAAGAAGAGGAGGTCAAGGTCAGAGAGGGATCGGGAGAGGAGCTCAAATGGGATAAGGAACCATCATGTTAAAGGCTCCATCTTGCGATTCTCCTCAGACTCAGAGCGGGAAGGCGACCGGGAGCCCTCCTCATCCCGCCCTCGGCCCCCGCGAAGAAAGAGAAAGGAGTCTACTTGTGCTGAAGAGGACATCATCGATGGCTTCTCCATCACAGGGTTTGTAACCCTGGAGGCTTTGGAGGTAAGTGTTGAACCACAGGGGTAGCCCCTTCAACTCTCTAGCCGTGTGTGTGTGTGTGTGTGTGTGTGTGTCGAGCTTTTGCATGACAGCCCCGCTGAAAATCCTTCACAATGGGTAAAGATTTTCATTATTGTGTGCAGCTCAGCTCTGCCTGGGCCATCTCAGCGTTTTGGCTCCTGTCTGCATATTTGGCTGTTGTGTGTGTGTGTGTGTGTGTGTGTGAGCTGGAGTTCAACAGATGCAGCTTTAAATGTAGCGCTGCAGCCAGAGATTACCATCTGTGTTACTGAGAGGCTGTTGTTGTGTGTACTGCTCTGCTTTGTTTTCATAAGAGTTGTCCAGCAAAGCCTTGCACCAGATGAGGTGTAAGGCTTCAGTTATGGTTGTAGTGGCTGTTGTGCCTTTGTTTGTTTTATAGTGAAATATGCTATTTGAACCATGTTACATCCGTTTATTTAGGGGGTGGGGGGAGTCATTTACTGTCTGGCTATTCATTTTCCTTCGAATGCAAACTGGCCACAGGCTGCCTCCAACCAATAGAGTTCAGAATTATGACTTACAAAGAAGGCATTTGTCACATACTGACTGCTATATTCCTCTACAGTCACAGCTGACAGAGGGTGACAAGTTAAAAGGAAAGAATCTTTGTAAGGTGTTGGTCCAAAAACAGCTTCAGTGCTACTGTTGATTCCACAGTTTTTTACAGCATATTATTCACACCACCTTCATACTCGTAAAGTCATTGTTACCCCTGCAGTCTATATGGAAGTATTACGTTTCCCCACTCATTTTGTTCGGATCTTTCCTTTTGTACGTCAGCTGTCTGCACATGTCAGATTGAACTTTTGCTAAATTTACAGGGAATTATTTCTCCACAGCTGTTATGTTGTTTCACACATTCAGCGTAACTTTTATAGTTAAGTGTCTTTGGAATACTTTTTGTCCTAATCTTGTTTCAGGAGGTTGTGAAAATAGTTGGTGTTCACAAGGTCAGACTGCCAGGGTGTCCTGGGATAACGCAGTGTGACTTACACTCTCTAATATATGCAGTGTGATACTGATCTCTGTTCACTGGTGTGACCCATCATAAAAACATGTGCAGCAGCACTTGTCACCATGTCCCTTTGTTAGTTAGATCAGCTCTTCCACAGCTCCAGTGTCTTACTCTTTTTTTATTCAGAATGATCTATTTACTAGTCACAGGCTCTTGTGTCTGCGCGTCCTTTCTTTCTTTTCATTTTGTTTGACCGTCTTCTCTGTTGTTCTGTTGTTGTTCTGCTAAAGCCTTTCTGTTCAGTTTGAGGGTCTAGTCAGTTGGCAACTCAGAAATCAATGTGAGAAAGTTTAAAACGAGTAGCTCTTGAGTTTGCACGGTCAACAAAGGTACAGTAAATAAGGTAAAAAGATAAATTAAACTTTCTAGGTTTATTGCTCACCTATGTATGCCTTTCCATAAACCTTTAGCCATTTACTGTCTTAATTATACTGTAATCTCTCCAGGTTAAATCGAGAGCCACATATAAGTAGGGATGGGGTTCGATAGCATTCTATAAAATCTGAATCCTTTTGAATCTGTTTTTGATTCTGTTCTAGTGTGAAAGTTTAAAAATAAGTGTTTCATTTCATTCAGAGCAGCAACAGGTCAAATTTAAACAGTTGTGTGTATTTCGTTGCCTTGCACTTGTACATGGGCAATAAAGTTGAATCTAATCTAAAAGATAAAGCAGTATTTAAGATTTTTTGGTAACCGTGTTAGTAACACAACTGGTCTTTTTAATTGTGATTGTAGATCGATTAGTGGATCCGCATGGTGCTGACACTGATAGAAGCTTTAGTAATTAACAATCAGACCCAAACCGTGGACATTCTGCTCTGCTAAAGGGGTGTAGGGCTTTCACCACACGTTTTATCACTACTCAGTCACATCCATTAACACTGTCCTCACTCATGTTTCCTTAAGCTGCATTTGCTTCTCACTGGGAGGCTGTGGTGCAGCCGTGATAGCTCAGGTAAAAACAACAGTGAAAATAATATTGATTCTACTTTGTCATTCAGTGAATATTCATTTAATTGCTGATGCTTTGCATGCACTGTGCACTTAGCATTACCTGAAGGTGAGCGAGTTGTTGTACTTCTACATCTGACATACTGTGGTGTAACACTGGTGGCATGCCGAGGCTGAGCACTCGTCCTTCTCTAGTTATCAGAATTACATAAATTCGTACTTTAACATGTTGGATGTAAGGTAAATCTTTAAATAAATGACTTGTCATATTACACTTTGCAGTTGTTTCACTGACATATTAATCTGTAGCATGTAATACTTAAGCTTACAGCCATACTGCTGAGTTACCAAAGGTTTGTAGTACTATAAAGCTTTTTTCCTTTGCCAATGTCTGTAATGTTAGAGAGCTCAAATGATGAAAAACCTAAAGTATGTGAATGAAAGAACTGATAAACAATTTGTTTGGCCATGATGCTAATGAATCCAGGTTATAGCTATTGGCTATTCTTACATAAAAGCAAAGATGTCACCTTTACTAGGCTCCAACTTATGTTATTTTAATGTGAATTTAATAACCCTACATTCGAACACCCCCACCCTTTCCAAGATATTATGTCAGTACATTATTGACTACAGAGATATTTTGGTTACTTTCTGAGGCCTTAATCAAATGACCTACTGTATGATGGAAAAGAAAAACCTCTACGTGTTGCCAGTCCATGTTTATCAAATTATGATAGAGAGCTTCTAAATACCGTTTGTCCTTTACTGCTAAAGCCATTCTTAAAACCATGATGCCATCTGCCTGTTCTCTTAAAACTTCCATTGAAAATGTTTAGGCTGGGCTTATTCTCTGTTGATGGTGCCACTGTGTTTGTATTCATGCCTTGTTTTATCCAGTCTATGGGTTCTGCATGTTGGATCATGTTCCCCTGTGGAGGAAAATTAATTGTTTATATTAAAGCTATAAAATAGTTGATAGATTAGTCAATAGAAAAAGTCTTTATTGGCCTACCTATTGTGTGTTCCCTTGACATCTAACTAGCAGGTTTTATCTATATAGTAATTATTTTTTCAAGTTACAAAGATTTGAAGGGATTTTCCTGCAAATGTAATACTGGCATTAGAAAACATGATTGTTACAGATCTACAGGTTTTTGTATATTAGTAGAAGGCTTCTGATTTCACATTATCCTGCACAGCATTGTTTCAGCCTTTCACTGCAGTCAAGTGAATGAAAAACAGAAGGCACATTTTACAAAACAATCTTGCCCCAGAGTGGTTTACCGAGTAATAAAATGTGCTGTTCAAGTAAAGCCAGAGAAACAAATTGTTCTTGTTTTTGTGTAAATGCAAATACACACACACACACACACACACACACACACACACACACACACACACACACACACACTATCATGTTTTTGTGAGAATGTGACTGAGCTTATTAATGCCTGACTGTATCTCACAGGGAAATGAAAGGAGGTGGCAGTACTGAATTGCAATAATTCTTAGAGTTGTTGAACTTTAAATATAGTAGGTTGTTGCTCTGTGTCGCAGATGTAATGACAGTGTTTACTCTCATGAATGGTTTAAAACTGCCTGAAACACATTAACTTTCTCTTTGGTGTCCATGTTGTCCACACCAACCATTTGAATATGTAGTGTAAGAAATTCTGAGTCATAACATTCCTAGTTCCCATATTTCCTGACAGTAACATGATTGAAGGTGGGAACTGCAACCTTCAGTGATGGTAATTGTTCGTGGGGTGGGGAAGTAACCCAGTACTTGTACTTCGTTTAGTATACTTAAGTTGCTTTTTCAGGTATCTGAACTCAAGTATTTAGTTTTACTTCCTACATTTTAACAAAAATAGCAGCACTTTGTACTCCTTACATTTTCAAATCAGACGCATTCATTTTAGTTTTAATACATTTGATGGGAAATGCTAATTATTTTTTGTCTAGCACTTAGTGCAAAATGTGTACACCTCTGCACCGAGTGACATGTGCCTTGTTTACAGCCTGCTAGCTTCTTGTGCTTTCACAGAGATCTCGTGCATACGCGGTTAAGTCTTGCTTTACTTCAGACCATAGCTGTATGCCTCAGTTATGGTCATTTAAAGTTTTGGGGCAATATATACACTGATCTAGTATTTCGTAATAAAGAAACATGACACCCAGTGCTGATTCGTTTTTGAACAACAATGGAGGTCTATGGCACAGACGAATAAGCTAATCCAGGTTGGAGATGGACAGACATTAACTGTGAGTAGAGGCAGTTCATTGTTGGTTTTAGTCTCTGTATGGATATTGTTCAAAAGACTAAATATGGTATAATGGTTTAATGATAGAAAATATGATGTGAAGATACCATCTTAGATGAAAGTGGAGTGAGGAAAGATAAAGGGAATTGGTATCTTCCAGCTTCTGACTGACTGAACACACCTGAGCCAGGTAATCAGCAGCAGGTCAGGCAGGGATAGTTGGAAAACAAGCAGGACAGCGGCCCTCGAGGACTGGAATTGGCCACCCCTGATTGAAATGCTCCCAACTAGGGCTGCATGATTAATTGTATCTTGAGTGTGATTCAGATTTCTGTGCGAATTCAGTCTCTTGCCTGACAATAATCCAGGTGTTTGCATTAGAAGTGAGATTCCTTGTATCAAACTAAACGCTCCCTTTTCCCGACTAAGCTGCGTTAACCAATAACTGCAACTCATAACCACAAAGTGATTTGTTTCTGCCTCAGTTGCTATTTGGCACTATGTGTGTAGGGCAGGCAGCGCATTGTTTGTAAAATCGTTGGATGGGGCAGAATATCTTTCACAATGTCAGACATGTTGGATTTGTTTTTGACTCAGTCTTTTCTTCCCGTCTACAGGTCATCACGTGATATTCCTGCTATTGGCCCAACTTTACAACAGAAATAAATGTTTACAGCCTGGTACAAAAACGGTTTTGGTCTCTAGAGTTGATTTCCCCTTACATGACA